GTTTGGGGATGCCTGGTGTAGATGAAGCCTCCAGGTATCAGGCTTCAGAGAGAAGAGACTGTAAATGTTTCTCATGAAACTTAAAGTCTGTGTTGATGTTAATACTGCTCAGCTTTTCCCTGAATTCCCAAAAGGAGGAGGGTATAATGAGGCACATCTGAACTCCCTTCCCATTATGGCCTGAACCAAGATTTTCAGGTTAACTTTAGAATGCTCTCAGATGAGAGGAGGGGTCCATTCAGATAGTTGGGGGCCTTAGAATTTTATTTTTGGCTCACATGCCCAAGTTCAGATTGTAAGATCAAAGTGATAACAGAAGATAAGTAAAGCAGGCTGAACCACAGGAGATCCCAGATGTGAGTGATCGTGATGAGACCTAGAGAGGACTGATTTGGGAGGACTAGCGATGAGCTAAAAACCGTAAGGAATGCTCTAAGGATGGCGGAGTATGGTGGGAGGACATGTGCTTTTGACCAATGTAAAATTCCAAGTTCAGGTATCTGTGGTCCAACAAAAAACTCAGTCCTCATCACTGGAGCTGACCAGAGAAATATGAATTCCCAACTTTTCAAGAAGTCCCAAAGGCCAAGCCAGGGCACCAGCTATAACCCTGGGCAAAGGAGCTTTCTCGAGTTTAGGCACTTTCCAAAGAACACGGATAGATGGGAGCTGTCTGCTGGAAGCACTCCAGCATTTGGGAAAATAAATCCTTCATTCCTGATAATCTGGGTGTCCTCTATTGTCCCTCACAATACTAGGATAAATTTTTCAATTTAACTCTGGGAACAGTTACTGAATGATCCCAATACACCTCTCTTCCTAGGGGAAACTTAGAAAAAGAAGATTAACAGAAAAATATATGGCCCTTGCTACTGTAACTGGTCTTGAAGTCACAACTGACATTCATTGACTGTCAGGTTTTTTCCCTTTACTTTCATTCTGGATTTTCTTCACCCCAACTTGTCTCCGTGGCTTACTTTGAGGTATGATCCCCTCCCAAATGCCTAAGAAACCTGAGTCTCTGGTCACACAGGCTTCTTAAGCCATGGCTGCTACACTTGTTCATTTGCCATGAAAATGTGGCAAGGATATAGCTGAAAGGTCCCAAGTGCATCATATGAGTACCAAATATATTTTTCCTGTTCCCATTATAAGAGTATCCCTTTCTCCTTCTGATAATCATTATTAATTATCCTTTCTAAGATGATGACTCTTCTTATTTTCGGTTCTTCACTTTCCAACCTGAAGTAACCAGCTATTAGCCATAGCTAGTACTTCAACGGGACTCTCACTGCATCTCCCTAGTTGGAAGTGTTTCTCCTTGGTAACTAACATATTTAAGATTCTAGATTTGGGGTACAAGAAACATAAATTCCCCTAAAGGAATTACTGATCGTGACAGTGAGCAGTGTACTTCTGCTTCCATGCCTTGGTTGATAAAACAATGTATCCTACCTATTTGAGACATCAGCACCATATTAAAGATTTTGCCATTTTTGCCTGTTGGATCCAGAGCTTGCCCACGTGCACACATGTGCACACGCACACACACACACACACACACACACACACACACACAGTCCCTTATGTATGATCCAGGCCCCTACCAGTAGAAGTTGGCTACACTTCCCCTGCTATATTCTTTCTGAATATAGTATCTTTACTCACTTCCTATACCCAACACAACTTCAACTGGATTCTGTTGTAATTTAATCCTGGTCACTATTAAATGTGGCCTGTACGGGAGGTAAGGGCAGATCCTAAAAAGGAGTGTCATACTGTCGTGAAGTTCACAGAACCTGCCTCATCTTTAATCAAGAGAAAAGATATGTATCATTTACACATCAAAATTACAGTACTATAATATTTTGTGTTTTCTGTGTACTTGCTATTATTGGTGAGTTTTATATTAGAAGGTTTCTTATTGCTTGTTACCATCATTTTCTTTCAGATTGAAAAACTTTATTTAGCCTTTTTTATAGAAAAGTTTTGATATTGATGAAATCTCAGCTTTTCTTTGTCTGGGGGGAGGGGTTATTTCTCCTTAATATTTGAAGGATATTTTCACTGAATATGCTATTCTACAATGAAAGTCTTTTGTTTGTTTTTTCTTCAGCACTTTAAATATGTCATGTCACTCTCTCTTGGCTGTAAGGTCTTTACTGAGCTATCTGCTGCCATATGGATTGGACTGTCTTTGTATACTATTTGTTTCTCTTCTCTTGCTGCTTTTAGGATCTTTTCTATATTCTTGATCTTTGGGAGTTTAGCTATTCAATGTCTTTTGGGAGTTTGATTATTAAATGTTGTGATGTTGTCTTATTTGGGTTAAATCGGTTTGGTGTTCTGAAATCTTCTTGTACTTAAATATTAATACCTCCCCCTAGATTTATAACCTTATATGTTAATATCTTTTTGAATAAACATTCTACTCTGATCTTGATCTGAACAACCTCTTTGAAAGCCAATAATTCTTAAATTTGCCCTTTTGAGATTATATTTTAGATCTTATAGGCATGCTTTATTTCTTTTTTCTTTTGTCTCCTCTGACTATTTTCAAACAGCACGTCTTCAACCTAATTCTTCTGCTTGAATAATTCTGCTGTTGAGACACTCCGATGCATCCTTTAGAATGCTAATTAAATTTTTTAGGTCCAGAATTTCTGCTCAATTTCCTAAATCATTTCAATCCCTTTGTTAAATTTATCTGAGAAGATTCTAAATTACTTCTCTGTGTTATCTTGAATTTCATTGAGCTTCTTCAAGAAAGCCATTTTGAATTCTGTCTGAATGGTCACATATCTCTGTCAATCCAGCATTAGTCATTGATGTCTTATTTTATTCTTTTGGTGAGGTTTTGATGCTTGTGGATGTTTGTCAATGTCTGGTCATTGAAGGGTTAAGCATTTATTGCAGTCTTCAGAGTCTGGGCTTGTTTATACCCATCCTTCTTGGGCAGGCTTTTCAAGTATTCAAAGGGAAATGAGCCTTGTGATCTAAGTAAGTCTTTGGATTTTGTTGACTTTAGCCATACTCATTAATACTACGTCTCTTCAAACTCATAGGGGTACTACCTGGTGGTCTTGGATATGATCTGAGAATTCCCCAGATTGCCAGACAAAAACTTTTGTTCTCTTCTCTCACTCCCCCCAAATAAATGGAGTCAATCGTCAACAATCATCAATCTCTCTCTCTCTCTCTCTCTCTCTCTCTCTCTGTCTCTCTCTCTCTCTCTCTGTCTCCTCTCTCAAGAAATTCTAAATTGTATAGTTGTTCTTTTTTTATTATTTTTTTTTTCTCAAGGCAAATTTCCTATTTGGAGCTTCTTAGGGATGTTGAGAGAAAATACCATACTAACTTAAAGTCAGCACCTTTTCTTCAATTAATTTGTTAAAAACATACTGACAGTACTGTTTTACCACGCGTTTGTTATCAAAAATAATCCAGATACTTTTACAAAGTTATTTTGCATGCCATTTAGCTATTTTCATGGAAATTAGTCACATCTGAGGTCTCTCTCTCTCTCTCTCTCTCTCTCTCTGCTGATCTACCTGGAGCTGGGGGAAGGTGACATAAGCATTCCTGTGACAGCCACCACTAGAACTGTGCTGGGTCAGACCTGTAGCCAGACCTGTGGCCGCTTCCTGCGTTACCACCAATGTTGGCTTAAGGACCAAGGGCTCTTCAGTTAGCAGATGGTGAATCCAGCCAGGCTTGTGTCCTTTCAGGGCAGTGAGCCATTCCTCATCCCAGAGCAGGTGCGCAAATGCTGTCCAGAAATCAGGTCCTTAAGTTAGAAACCTTAAGAATCTTCTTGGTGCTCTATTCTGCTGCTGCTAGCATTCAAGCTGTTAAGACAAATTCCTTCCCATTCTTCGCTTTTCTTTTCCTTAAGCAAAATGAGTCTCATCCCATGGCTACAACTGCCCCAGGCCCATGGCAACTACTACTGATGTTCAATCAAGGCTCAAGTGCTCTTCAGTCATTTTGTGGCAAATGCTTCCAGGTCTGAGCTCTTCCTTTAGAGCGGTGGGCTCCCCTCTGGCCCAGGCCAGGTCCAGAAATGCCACCCAAAAGCTAAAGACTGGAATTGGGGGTTCAGGAGTCTATTTGATGTTCTTCCCCACTGTGGCTGAACTGGTACCCAAGCTGCAGGACAGAATCCCCTTTATTCTTCCCCCTTCCTCAAGGATGAGTCTCTCCTGCAATGGTCACCAGAGCTGGGAATGTGCTGGGACATAGGTGAAGCCAGCATGCACGGAGTCTCACCCAAGTCCCACAGTGAGTACTACCCAAGTATCGCTGATGTTTATTCATGGCCCAGGGGCTCTTCAGTCAGCAGATAACAGATCCTGCCAAGACTGGTCCTTTTCATCAAGGCAGTGAGTTTCCTCTGACCCATGGTATGTCTAGAAATGTTGTCTGGGAGCTAGGGCCTGGAATGGAGGCCTCAGGACTCTGCCTGGTACTCTTCTTTTTTCTACTGTGGCTGAGCTGGTATCTGAGCTGCAAGACAAAGTCCTCTCTACTCTTCCCTCTCCTCTTCTCAAGCAGAAGGAAGGAGTCTCTTGGAGCTGCAGTTTGCACTGCCTGGGGTTGGGGGAGGGTGACACAAGCTGTCCCTTGGCAACCCCATCTGGTGTCTCACTAAGTCACATGCACCCCAAGTCTAATGGCTCCAAGACCAACACAGCAGCAGGATTAGCCCAGGAGTTGCAGTCCTTTTCACCTAAACTGCCTTTCAAGTTTATTTACGACCTCAGAGGTGTGAGGTGTGAGGGCTTATCAGAACTCAGGTTCCAAACATGGGGATGGACGATTTCACTCTGGTGAGGGCTGGTTTAAATACTTCCTCTGTGGGTACCAGCTGGATTCTGCCCTGTGTTGTTTTCCACTGTGGCAGGCAGAACTGAGTTCCAGAGCAGAGTCCCACAGTTACTGTGCCTTCCCTCCCTCAAATGTACACATTCTCTTTCTCCACTATGTGTCTGCTACTGGGGGATTTTTTTTTTCACAGTTTCAATGGAAACTTTTATTGTTTATTTGATGGATCATCAATTTCACCTTCCTACCTACAAATGGAATTTCATCTTGTTTCCATGCTGAGTAGTAAAACGTTGACAAAGCTAATCAGAATAAGCTACATCAAAAGAGAACTAAGCTAACACAGCTCACTAACAGGCAAAATATAAATACATGCACTCTAGAATGTACAATGGTTTAGCCACTAAGAAATTCAAATGGGATCTTGAAGAATGGAGGCATATCCAGGGTGCAGCAAAGATGAGCAGAGATGCTGTGCAACTGTTTAAGGGTTCCTGGCACTGCACCTCTTGGCCACTAGCTGAATCTTGACATGGAAGGTTTTGGCTAATGCCAAGTGAAGATGCAGAAAATGCTAAGTTGACTAAGGGTTGGGGTAGGGTTGGCAAGTGAAGACTGTCCTTCCTACCCTACTTAGTGCCTCTTTCAGTGATATGAAGTTAAAACCAGGTACTGTGATTGCTCACCTGATTTTTGGTTTTTATGAAGGTGCTTGCTTGTGTGGATAGTTGTTCAATTTAATGTTCCTGGAGAGGGGGCCACCATCACTGGAGAGTTCTATTTGGCTGTCTTGCTCCACCTCCTCTCAGACACTGCTCTCTTCAGGTTAAGATAGTGGTGAGGAAAGGAGGTTGATAAAACAGTTGTCCATGTGCAGTTGGTTGTTAAGTGGGGTTGAGTTTAGAGGGGAGGGAGAAAATATTTTTAGGGAAAGATAGTTTGGGGTTAAGGAAGAAACATTTGGAAAAGCCTGGAGGCAATATTTGATAACATGTTTGGAGGTAAGGTAAACATGGGTAAAAAACAACATGTAAGCCAGGCGTGGTGGCTCATATCTGTAATCCCAGCACTTTGGGGGTTTGAGACCAGCCTGACCAACATGGAAAAACCTCGTCTCTACCAAAAATACAAAATTAGGCAGGCACAGTGGTGCATGCCTGTAATCTTAGCTACTCAGGACGCTGAAGCAGGAGAATCACTTGAACCTGGGAGGTGGAAGTTGTGGTGAGCTGAGATCGTGCCATTGCACTCCAACCCAGGCAACAAGAGTGAAATTTCATCTCAAAAAAAAAAAAAAAAAAAAAAAAAAAAGTAGGTGCTCTTCAAGGCTAAGGATATGGAAAGAAAAGCACACGATGCTCATATAATTGAAACTCATGTATGCAGCACTAAGAAGTTCAGGCTTTCTCCTGAAGACCTTGGGAAGATTTGGAAGTTTTCAACCAGAAAGTCCCACTGGTTTAACCATAGCAGGGAATAAAACAGGACTTCAGATGGCAAGACCACTTAGAAGGCATGATAGCAACACATACGGGAGAGAATTTGCTCCAAAGAGACATTATGGCACCTGTACTCTGTGTCTACACAAAATACAGTCTCTGGATGGAGAATGTGGCAAAGGAGACCCTAGGACTTCTTGTGTATTTGGAGATGCTATTTTTGGTATCAAACAGAAGAACTTGCAAACACTTGTTTGGGATACTGCTTTGGCTTCTCTGAAGGAAAAATCATTGTCAGTTTTGGGGGCTTAAGGGTCATTGTCTTTAAAACACCAAATCGAGTTTTCAAATAATTAATTGAAAATGCAAACAAAGTTTAAATATGTGGGTAAATTTTTATAATATAAGGCAGTTGAATAGAAGTCATCCTCAACTCTCCCAAGATTTTGACATCTAAAGCTTGATGTTATGATTTTAAAACATACTTAAAATTTTGTGTGTTTTAAAGCTGGATGAAATGTGAGATACCACCAGGAAGTCCCTGACAAAAACCAAAACCAAAACCACTCCACCTGTAAGCTGCTGCAACAGCCCACCTCTGACCGCCGCCCCCACACTTTCCAAAGTACCCGTCTACACATGCTGAACCCCTGCTGAAATATCTTCACTGGCCACACGTTGCCCACCAGACACTATCTTAACATGGGGTGAATCTACAAGGCCTTCCTTGGCCTGAAGGGCCCTAAGCCAGTTAGCCATTCTATGGAGTTCCCTCTTGCTCATGCATGGAGTTTTCTGTTCTCCTGACACACTTATCACATCTCTAAAATGGTGATCCGTGACACCATCCCATTCTTCCCACTTTGCCTGCATTTCAAGACTAATCTCAAATTTCCCTAAGTGGGAAAACTTCCAGTAATCTCCCACTCAGACAGCCCTACGCCTGTGTAGAAAGAAAACAGGTAAGTACTAAGAATTGCTTCTGAGGGGAAGGGTGGAGATCAGCTCTACCCAAGGCAAAGGTGCAGGTGGATGCCTTCCCACTGTGGCTACTCAGAGGCGGACTACCCACTTACACTCCTAAGCTACACTTTTGCAGGTGGAGTCCACTACCAAGTAAAATTGCTTTCTTTGATTCCATTAGGCAGCTCGCTCAAGGACAGAATGCCCAGGCAGCCCTCTCTACCAGCTGACAGCTTATCAAGCTTATCCCGCCAAAATATGTGTAAACAAGATTCACTGTGCCCTGATTGCCTGAAATTTGCTTTTCTTCTTTCTCTTCTGTTAGTAATTCTGTATTTGATTTTCTCACTCAAATGATGACTGATCTCCTCAAATGTGATTAATTTCCATGAAAATAGCTAAATGGCATGCAAAATAACTTTCTAAAAATATCTGAATTATTTTTGATAATAACAAACACATGGTAAAACAGTACTGTCAGTACATTTTTAACAAATAATTGAAGAAAAGCTGCCAACTTTAAGTTAGTATGGTATTTTCTCTCAATATCCCTAAGAAGCTCCAAATAGGAAATTTGCCCTGAGAAAATAAAAACAAAATTTAAAAAAAGAACAACTCTACAATTTGTAATTTCTTTAACTCATCAAGATTTTGTTTACTGTTATATTTCATGTTTGCTGATAGGAGAGGTATTACAATCAAGTGAAAAAAAATGTGAATTTGGAGTTTAAATCTTGGCTCTTCCAATTGTGTAGCCCTAGGCAATATACATAGCTACTCATCAGAAGCCTTAGTTTTCTGATCAATAAAATGGACTTAATAATGTAAAACTTTATAATTTTGAAGATAAATTGAAATAAGCAATGTAAGTTCTTTGAGAACATAGTTGAAAACAATTTTTGTCTCCTGTCTTTGGCAGAATATTCTTATGTATTTAAACCAACCACTAAAAACGCTTACAGTTGATGCATGTTGCTAAGAAAGACACATTTCCTAAGGAAGATGGAAAGTTTTTGTAAATTGTAATGTGCTATAGAACACTTGGCCCAAGCTGAAGATAAATAAATTGACATAATGTAAAGAATGACCACAAGTATATGTGTTCACACAGAGAAAAGGATGGAAGAGAGTCAGAAGCCTCTGTGCTGCTATGATACCAGCTATTCTAGTAACATTGGGATTAACAGATCCCAATGGAGCAAGAGAGCAAGCAATCAGCATATCTTTTTTTTTTTTTTTTTTTTTTTTTAAAGACAGAGTTTTGCTCTTGTTGCCCAGGCTGGAGTGCAATGGTGCAATCTCAGCTCACCACAACCTCCACCTCCTAGGTTCAAGTGATTCTCCTGCCTCAGCCTCCCGAGTAGCTCAGGTTACAAGCATGCACCACCATGCCTGGCTAACTTTGTATTTTTAGTAGAGACTGGGTTTTTCCATGTTGGTCAGGCTGGTCTTTAAACATTAAAATACGGAAGTGTTGGAAAGGAGACTTGCGTACTGTTTTTTCCCCATTACTTAAAATTAAATCCTGAAGCACACTGTCAATAGATCCCTGGTAATAGTTTGGTACTATTAGTGCTGTTAAAAATCTTTAAGTACCTTTAATTATTTGAATGTTCTTCTAGAAACCAATTAAGAGCACAATGAGTTAACTTTAAAGCAATTCTTCAGAATCTAGTAGATAATACTAGAGAGAACAGCAAGACACTTAGCAATGTGACTTTATAGATTACAAATTTAAAGAAAACAGAGAAGACCAGAATTTTAAAGCTTGAAAGCCCTTAAAGATGTTATTAGTCTAGTGACATCATTTTATAGGTAAAGAAATTGAATCCTAGAACACTTAAGTGATTGACATAAAATCATAAAAAATTAAAGCTGGAGCAGAGATTTCCTGATGACTATTTGAATGGTCTGTAAAAAAAAAAAACAAAAAACAAAAAAAACAAAAAAAAAAGGAAAGCAAATAAACCATCTATCTATTCTTCTCTTGTACACATTTCCCTGTCCCTGAGAGCTAAATACTGAATACCTGTATTTGAATGCTTAGTCATTTTTTTTTCATTTTTAGTTTATGTATTTTTAAATGTTGGCTATGTTTTTAATTGTGGCCTGGTTAGTACCATTGATTATAGTGCCAGTGAGCCAAAGGGAACTCCACAACGTGAAGTGTGTAGGACACAGGGGGGGTGGGGGGGTGGTGGGTGGGGGGGTGGAGCAAGTGTCCAGAGGAGGGGATGACAGTGTAGCACAGGATCATCATTTCCTGTGGGCTGGACAAACCACTCCATTAGTATGAACGGAGAACCCTGGGATACCTCTAATGCATAGCAGAAGCCTAAAGAAAGGAAGTTAATACAGTACCTTCATCAACTTCCTACTGTTTATTGGGTAGGCTCAGAGAGAATGTTATGTGCTGTTTCAGACAGAACTTCGTGGGGCATGTGCCATTTGAAGACATCAACAAGTTGTTAGGGTTGGTCCTTAGCTCTGAGGATCCAGAAATTAGATTGGATCCTCCTTTAGAGTGATGAGACTCTGAGAAATGATTCTCATCTATCAAATTAATAATAATAACTGGATTTTAAAATTAAAAAGGTGTAAAGAAAGATGTTGGCTATGTCGTAATGATCAAAAGTCTCTGGAATATATTAACTTAGAAAACAGAATTCCTCTGGATTCTGGATGTTCTATGATTTTAAAACATTTGTTTTGAAATAGTAACTTATATCTGGATGCACGAACTGAAATTTAAAGAACATTATAATTTAGCCATATTGGTTTCAGATTTTTCTCTTTTTATATTGTAAAAAATTCTTAAATATCTAAACAAAGAAACATCTAAAGCCAGACTTCTGTCTCTTCCACAACTTTCCCTGTGCAAACTTAATCATTATACTGAAATTAGTATGAATTATGCTCAAGCATGTTTTTGTATCTCTACTACATATATATATATAAATCATAGGATTAACAATTTACATAAATAATATTCTAATACACGTGCATCCTTTTATAGCTTTCTTTTTTCCCTCAGCTTTAAGCCTGAGGGAAGATATTTATACATGTTGACACAAGAAAAATCTGGTTCATTTCCATCTCAATCTTAATTAATTAACCTTACAACTGAGAGATATTGAGGGATATGGGTTATTTCCCACTTACGTACTATTACAATCACTGCTACAAT